TTATTTTTGAAAATAATGGCTTAGTTATTTTCGAAAATTTTTTTATGTAGCGCCTGTAGAAACCAGCATGTCCTAGCTTCTTACCCCTTCCTTTAACCTTAGTAGGAGGTGGTAATTTTTCAATAACTTGAATTTTTGCAGGATACCATGCAATTTTGAAAAATTTTATGCCCAAGTACAATACCTCTTGCAACCATAAATTGACATTTTTCCCAATTTAGTACTAGGTTGATTCTTTCACATACTTCAAGAACTTTTTTAAAATTATTTAAACATAATTCAAATGAAGTCCCAAATACAGAAAAATCATCCATAAACACTTCCATTCCATGTTCAATAAAATTGCTAAAAATTGACGTCATACATCTATAAAATGTTGCGGTGCATTACATTGTCCAAAAGACATTCTACAAAAAAAACAAATGTTTTATATAGACTTATAAATGTTGTCTTCTCTTGTTTCTCTGGAGCAATTGAAATTTGATGATAACCGGTATATCCGTCTAAAAAACAATAATATTTATTTCTAGCCAATCTATCCAACATTTGCTCTAGAAAGGGTAAAGGAAAGTGATCTGAAAGTGATCTTTTCTGGTGGTCATGTTTAATTTTCTATAGTCAATGCAAATTTTTCAAACTGTAACTTGTCTTGCTGGAATTAATTCAACATTCACTCCTTTCTTCAGAACACAGTGAATTGGACTTACTTAAGCACTGTCTGAAATAGAATATATAATTCCAACATCTAACCATTTTAAAATTTCTTTTTTTAACAACTTCTTTCATTATTGGGTTCAATCTCCTTTGAGGATCAGCTTTAGGTTTATATTGTTCATCTAATAGAATTATGTGCATACAAATTGAAGGACTAATTCCTTTAATATCTGCCAAAGTCCATTCAAAAGCCTTTTTCTATCTTTTCAACATCTCTATTAAGTTTTATTCTTGAATTTCAGTTAACTCAGAAGATACAATAACAGACAATGTAGATGACCCATTAAAACACATATTTTAAATGGGCAGGTAATATTTTCAGTTTAAGTCAGGTGGTTTAATACTTGAAGGAAAAAGATTTTTATTATCGTTTTCCAACAAGTCCAAAGTTTAAAATTTGCCTTGAATATGATCCAAATCTTCTTCTTTTGTTTCGTCCTCGTTCTCAAAAAATTCTCCTTACTTCAATTTGTCTTCAAACTCATTCTTAAACTGCTCATTACTCAGATAATCAGCTACTTTCATCCTGAAACATTCATTATCTTTTTATATTGCAGGATACTATATTAAATTTTATTTCTTGATCATTAACTCTCATTATTAATTCTCCTTTTTGCACTTCTATCATAGCTATACCTGTTGCAAGAAATGGTCTCCCCAAAATAATAGTAATCTCTTTATCTTCCTCTATATTTAATACTATAAAGTCTACAGGGAAAATAAATTTATCCACTTTTACTAATACATCTTCTATAACTCCTTTTGGATAAGTTATTAATCGATGAGCTAACTGAAAAGTTACAGTAGTAGAATAAATCTTTCTCAAATCTAAACTTTTAAAGATCGATGAAGACATAAGATTGATACTCGCTCCTAAATCACATAAAACTTTTCCAAATGACATTTCACCAATAGCACAAGATAACTACCAGGATCTTTTAATTTTTCAGGAAACTTTTTTTGAATAATAGTGCTACACTCTTCACTGAGTGCAACGTTCTCATGATATGTAAACTTCCTTTTCTTGTTTAATAAATCTTTGTTTCAACTTCTTTTCCACTTCATAATTGAATAGCTTTAATTTGATCCTTATTTTGATCTTTAGGATTAACTTCCACAGTACTAGGAAGAATTTTAGAAGGTCTATTACTATGTGTAGCAGAAGTGCAGTAGCAATATGCCCTAATTGATTTTCATTATTTCTAATAGTAGCCCCTTAATTCTGTATTTGATTTTCCATATTCGGCATTACTTCTTCCATCGTCAACTTCTTTTCCTTAACTTGAGGGTTAGGGTTAGAGTTAAATCCAGGAGGATAATAAGGTTTATAATTAAGTTTTTTTTTTATTGTTCAAATTTTCAGATGGATTCACCAAATTATTATAATTTTTTCAACTAAAATTAAGGTGATTTTTCTATTCAGGGTTATAATAATTAGACTAGGGATTATTATTTCGATTATTTATAGCATTTAAAGTTTCATAAGATGATTGAGTATCAATGATTTGTCCTGGTGAATTTTCCTCTAATACTGGTGGTATTTGAGAATAGTTCACTCCAATTTGATTAATCTTTTTCAAAATAGCAGCAATTTGAAATGTTAAATAGACATTGCATCAGAGTCATAAGTACTAGCTACTCTTTTAGGATTTACCCTTTCAGAGGGCCATTGCAGAGGGGATTTATCCTTTCAGAGGGCCATTAAAATTGTTAGTAGTCATTTCTTCAATTAAAGATTATGCTTCATCAAAATGTTTTGACATTAGTGAACCACCTGCAGCAGTATCTATAATAGATCTAAGTGATCCTACTAATCAATTATAAAATATTTGAATTATTAAGTAATCTAATAAAGCATGGTGCGAACATTTGCTAAGAAGATCTTTAAATCTTTACGATGCTTCATATGAAAACTCGTTCTTGGATGCATATTTGAATGATCTGAACCCACATATGACCTTCTGAAGCTTAGCCAAGGCTTCACAAAGATGCGAATCACCAAATGCTTTTGTCCTGAGATGAACAGTGCTTGATGAGATCGAAATCCCCATCCTGAAATATAGAACCAAACACAACAGATAAGACTTCATTTGAAGCATTACTAACATGGTTATATGGCTCTAGCAATCTCGATCAAAACCCTAGCAAAAAAAACTTATCAACAAATGATTCAAAAGCAAAATGCTGTCTAAAAGAGGAGAAACTGATCTCACCCTATCGATCCATAGCGAAGAATCTTCCGCGAAGCTGAACGATGGGTGGAGGAAAAGGTCGGATTTTAGCTCTGAAAGAATCTGTAAGAAGCCGGCTTTCAGATCCGCCGCGTTCCCGTTGGCTTCCACCATCGGAGATGGGAGCGACAGAAAATGGAGGCGAGTAAATAATCTGGGAACGAAATACATGCGATTAATGGGTTCGGAGGACCGTTGAAAGGGCCACGCTGTGTTTTTTCGGGTTGGTTTGAACGAAGAAGATAACGGATTTGAGCTTATTTCGCCCCTTTTGCTTCTAATTATGAATATCTCCAATTAATATTTCTTTTTGGATTTTTGATTTTTTTTAATTTTTTTTTAATATTATCTCTAAATTTCCTAATTTATCAAATCTATTTAATTTACTATTACCTTCCCCAGCAACGACGCAAAAAATTTGATCCCGAGAATATAGTTGTGTAAAAAATTATAAAGTTGACTCCGCTATGCAACGGTGCCAAAAGCTTGATGTAATATTTTATTAATAAGAAATTTAAGCAAATAATGTTGGGATTCTACACAAGTATATGTATTATTATCAAGTAATAAAGAACATTCTAATTTATGCCCCAAATATCGATCCTACGGGGAAGGTTTAAATTTTAAATGATAAATTTATTAGGAAATTCACAAAAAGTCAAAACAAAATTACTGTCACTAATTTCAAATGTTGAGATATTATCAGAACTAAATTATTTAACTACTAGAAAAACTGAAATGCAAAGTTTAAAAAATAACTACTAAACTATTAAACAATGTTTATGTGATGAAGATTTCTTATGAGAAAAAACATCTTTCCCACTATAATGAGATTTTGGTAAAATGAGATGAGTTAAATGGTTATAATATGTATTGTGCCAAATAGGAGCAATTTTAATTTTCTATCCCGATACAGTGTTATAGAAAATCAATGGCTAATCCTAGGTTTAGTCTTTAAATCCGTGGCTAGGCTAGGACGATACTAGCTCCCACTCTAGAGCTCCCACTTCCCTTCACCTGAAGGCTAGCACTTGCTTTAGTTTTTAAACACTAAGACCAAATTAGGGATTTTAGTCTATCACACTAAAGGTTCTCCAATTCTACGCCCAACAATGTATATTTCCCTATTTATTTGCACTTAATTTCACGACCAAAATACTCCTTCATGGAATCAAATGAGATCCTCACTCTGTTATAGAACTCATACTCCATTTCCCTGATCATATGTTTCACAACACATTTTAACAATTCAATTGGACAAATCAAAAAGTAAATTAAGTTCGGAGTTAAGAAATCATCACAATTTATTTTACATTTTAATTTTGGCACATCCATATTATCTCTTCATTTCACCATATCTCAGAGTAGGGAGAAAGATAAGGGAAACTACTCAGACTTTATGAGAAAGATACAACAAAACATAAATTTCATATATTAAAGAAAGTTCATACAACACTAATAAACAAACAACACTTATCTGAAACTCTTTCTCAAAGAAAATCCCTTGTAGCATTTACTACGAAATATAGAAAGAAAAAATCTCTCACTTTTCTCCTTCTCCAACACTCTTAGAGAAAGATTCACACTTAATCTCAACACAAAAGCTCTAAATTCTTAAAGAAAACTCACTAATAGACTCCAAAAATGATTGTGGAATGAAGAGGGAAAAGTTTGTGTAGGAGATTGTATTGAAACTAGGAATGGTAAAAAAAGAGCCCATTTTCTAACGAATTTTGGCCCCAAATATAGTCTAGAGTCAGTTGTCCAATAGGTGCCTCCAAAAACTCTTTCAAAAGCGTTCAAATTCATCAAATCTTATAGAAACAAGGGCTGAATCGACATTGGTACTATTGGCAAATTATTCCGCTGCTTTTAGTCAAACGCCGTCGTCCGCGCCCATTCTGCCGTCGTCGGCGCTAAACAAAATTTCCACTTCTCTAATTTGACTCCAAATTTCATCCTTTTTGCTTTCTTTTGCTCCAAGCACTAAAATTCAATAATTTGCAAGAAAACAATAAAAATACCTTCCATTAAAGGGCAATATCACCAAAAATGAGTATAAAATATGGGTCTTAAAATGCATATATTTTTGGTGTATCAGACTGCACCACCTGTTGGTCGAGATCATACTTGAAGCTTACACCAGAGCAAAGTGACACTTTGAGGAGGTTCATTGAACTCCACTAAAGCTTCCACAAGCAACTGATTGAGGCCTCCCCTCTCAGACTCAGGTATAAAGCCTAAACCCTAATTTTTGGCTCGGTTTGGGCCTTTGTGAAGAAAAAATTAATTTCATAAGCATGTAGTCATATAGATGTGTTTGCCTTGAGTAGATGAATGTGTAGGAACAAACCTAAAGTGATTTGGTTGAGTATCAAGTGAGATCTTAGGGTTTGAAGTCAAACGATTCACAGGTTCTGGATATCAGGGATGATGACGGAGAGCCGTTGGATCACACGTGTATCGGTTGGACGACTGAGATTGCGCCGGACGAGAAGATGGAGCGGGAACCGCAGGCTGACGAGGCTGGTACGTGGATGGTGGCGTCGAATCAGAAGGCGACTCATGTAAAGTTCGGAGCGCCATAGGTTGATGTGGAAGCTGAATGGGTTAAGTAGAAAATTAGGATTTTTTATTTATGTTAATTCCAGATTTATAATATCCATAACTTGGTGTAGTAAAATCATAAAAACAAAAGAAAATACCTTGTTGCTCAGTGAACAAAGGAGAATAATGTGAAAAAAAATAAAAATTATTTGATGAGTTTTTTATTTTTTATTAATTAAATACTTTTTGAATGTTTTAATTTTAATTAAGTATGTAATAATTATCATGACTTGAGATTATAGGGGTTTGTTCCACATGATAGTGGAGATGTTTTGTGATTTTTCCAAAGTCAGAAGACATCTCTACACATGTAACCCTAACTTCTAAGTTTGAATGGTTATTTTGCTTAAAATAATTATATAAATTAAAGTGTAAATCAAAAAATTATGGTACTTTCTTTGGTAGGTTTCTTATGGCTAGATGATACTTAGAAAAATATAAATTAAGTTTTAATATTTATGTAAATTACTATAGTTAATAAACCCTAAAAATTCATAAAAAATTAAACATAAATTTAATATATTTCAAAAATTAGCAAAATCAATTCTACATTGTAAACAGTGATTATTTTAGCTCACAGTAAAAAATTGAAATTTATTGATTAAGTTTGATCACTAAAATGGATTTTTCAAGTAAAATGACATTTTTGGAATTGAAATAATTTTAATAAATAATATAATTAGAAAAATTATGAAAAGTGATTTTCTGAGCTCTTTGTGATTAGGGGCACTTAGAAAGAATAAAAATTATTTTTAAATAAATATTTTATTTTTTAGCCTATTTTTGAATTAAAAAATGAAGTAAAAATAAATAAAAATTTTGAAAATACAAAAATGGTCCAAAATGTTCCTAATTATTTTCTGATCAATTGGGACTCATTAGAATATTTTTTCTGATTTCTCAAAGTTAATTGTAAATTTTTAAAGGCTAAGAATATATTTCTCTAATTTTTCATTAAAATATTTATAAAAAATAAATTAAAAATAAAAAAAATAAAAAGTTTGCTTCTCTGAGTTTTCTAGACTTAGGGGGATTTATTAAAGATATAAAAAGTAATTTTTGTAATTAAAACATATTTTCTATTTAATTAAATCATTAAAATTAATAAATAAGTATAATAATTAAAATATAACTTGAAAAATTATAAAATTTTTTCCTAGTGGTTCTCTGACTTAGGCGAACCTCCAATAATTTTCCCATGAATAAAAATTTTACTTTAATTAGTTAAATAAATTAATATTGAAAATCTTATTCTTTTAAGTTCAAAAAATTATTTAAATTAAATTAAATTTTGAAAAATCACATTTTCTCCTATGATATTTTAATTGACCCATGAGTGGGGTACTTTAAAAATTTCAAAGTCATTTGAATTATATTTGATGAGTTATGAAGTGGAGAGCCCTAGGGGCAAAATGTTAATTTTAGATTTTGATGCCTCAATTAAATTTTAGGAATAATCAAAGGGAAAATGTGTAATTTTGATCCCAATGAACTCTTTTGGATGCTTTAAATATAATGGGTTAAAAGGTAGAAACCAATTTGCCACCTTTTTATGGTAAGGGTAAAATTGTAATTTCATAAATTTTCATGATTTAGAAGTCAATTAAAATAAGGTGATTCTAAAGTTATGAGCTTAAGCTAGGAAGCTAATAGTTCACTTATTTGAAGCCTATAATTAGTGATAGCATGATCTCTTGATAAAAATATATTCCACTTAAATTAAATATTCTGATAATTGCAAATTTACTAATGAAAAATGTTAAGGGCTTAGTAGTGAGCTAGGCTTGATATTTGAACTTATTTAAAGTGGTTTAGAAAAGAAAGACATGATTGATTAACACCTCTAAACACTACAAGCCCAACTTTAGTGAAAGATACAAGATTTTTAATGACTTAAACTTGCCTTAGGGGCATTCACTTACGTAAATTTTAAGTAAAACATTGAGTGAATATTTGAACTACCCCACTCTTGGGATAATTAAAATATCAGGTTCACTAAGCATAAGGTGTATTAATTCAATGAAACTAAATTTAAAATTTGGGGCAATCAATTGAACAATATAATAGATCCAAATGAACTCGAAACATTTCAACAGATTTAAAAGGTTGTTAGGGATTGCTTCCCAAATACTTTTATAACATTTTGGATATTTTAAAGGGCAATTGGACTTATTATACTTGGGTTGTTAGGGATTGCTTCCCAAATACTTTTATAACCTTTTGGATATTTTAAAGGGCAATTGGACTTATTATACTTGGTTCCAGAAAATCATCCATTAAAACCTTTAGGGACTCACCAAGTTATAACTTAGGGTTTGGTAGCTACATTTTAATTTACCCTTGCAATTTATTTAAATTTCCTGCAAATTACATATGTTGCAAGTTCTAACATTTCAGCGTGAGTAGCGAGAAGATGACAGATACACATTTACAATTTTATTTACTTTCTGTCATTTACCGCAATTTACTTTTGCTTGAATACATTGTACATGCTTGGTTGTGGATGTCACTTCACCTGCAAAACAAAATAACTTTTTCAAAACCAATCAACTTTTTCAAAATTAAACAAGATTTTCAAAAAAAAAAAAAAACAATAACTTCATAACACGTCCTTTTGAATTTATGGGAGTCCTTTGGAAGAGGTAACCTATAGTTGCTAATGAGATCTCCTCGCTTTAAATGACTTTAACAACTCGTTTAAGCTAAGTAAAATCAAAAGAAAATAGTGGTATCAGAATGAGGGAACCATGGGATCCTAACCGGTGTCGCTCTAATCAACTTTAACCCCCACCCATAATTATTAAACTTAAACTTGTCATTTAAACCTTTAAATCTTTAAGCCTTTAAGACTGCTACTTAGCCGAGGGGCTTGTAGCTAACTCTTTGGGCAGCCTTCTATAACAACACGAGGATCTACAACAGTAAATCCTTTCCTTAGAATTAAATAACAAGCTATAGGATTTCGAGGTTGTTTGCCTAGTGCAACATAAATCCTCAACTCATTTTTAGGCCTTTGCACAATCATGTACAATATAAGCCCTAACTTGTTTTAGGATTCCGAGGTTGTCGTTCGTCACTACCTAAATCCTCATATCTTTCAAGCTATTTGTGTGTCGTCTCACACAAATGTAAGCCCTAACTAATAAAATTGGCAAGATGAAACACTTGATAATTTCTTTCTTCCCGAAATTGAAGTCAAACCATAAAATAACTTGGAAAGTCACCTAGGTTCCCCTCAGGATCTATGACAACCCATAGTTTCTCTTCCTTTGGATTCCATAATAATTTTCTGAACTTGAGCCTCTCCAATTTGACACTCTTCAGTCTGATCTTTGAAAAAGTCATATCCTTTGAAAATTTTGGAGTCAATATTTTCTGATGTAAATCGAGAGTTTTATTAAGTGACTTCAGTCACTTAAGATGTAATTAACTATAGGGATTTGCCTCTATAAGGAGCTTTAAAAGCCCAGTTAATATAAACCCTATCTAATATTTCACATTAGAAAGGGGAATTTGTCGGCATATATGAATGGTTTGCAAACCAGACGGATGTCATAAACTCTGTAGTTTATTTAATCGAGTCTCACTATCAAGTGATGTGTCTATCCATCCCTCGGGATGGTGCTGTGCTCGATCATTTAAACTATTTCGACATGAGATCGATTTGGTCTTGTATTTTCAAAATTAAAATATTACTATTTTCTAAATTAGATATATATAAATTAAATTAAACCAACTTTAAAAAAAAATCGGGCATCAAGATATCCATTCCGGCTACCGATAATTTCTAAATCTAATATAATTAAATTAAAACCTCCTCAAAATCGAATAAGAAAAAAAACGATATAATAACTGTGCCGACAGAGCTTTCTGCCACGTTTTTAGCTACGGTTGTTTTGGCGCGTTCAGTACTTTCTACTGCCAATTTGACGCAAATCATTATTCAAGAAGCCGTCGAAAAGGACAAATGGATTCATTTAAGTATTTTATTCAAAATAAAAAAAAGGTGAAGATAGATCGTGTCCATTAGATAGATAGTCCATTAACAACAAAAACCTTAAATGCTTATAAACTCAAAACAAAATCGAGTTTGTGCATAAAAACCCTAACTAAAAAGGGGGCAGTTACATAGATAGCAATCAAAACATTGCAATTCACAAATCTAAGGTCTTCTATCTTTCAATTCCTCACTCAAATGTCAAAATTAAACATAAAACTCCAACCCATATTTTTCTTTGTTTATCAAATTCTTAATTGACATTAATTCGGTAATCCAAAATAATCATGGAAGTAAAAAAGTAAAAAAGTAAAACACCAAAAAGTAACCGTTTGAGATCGTGGGCTGTGGTGCTTCCCTTTGGTACAAAGACTCGAATAGAAGAGTACACAACTGGGCATGCACTTACATGAAGGAACGAAACGAACACCTCCCATGGCTTCTCTTCCTCCTCATTCATCCATCAGTCTTTCTCAACCATTACCAGAAACCTGCTCCTCCTTCTGCGGCCACATAAAAATTTCTTTCCCTTTCGGCCTCAGCCCCAACTGTTCCCTCCCTGGTTTCCAACTCTCCTGCAAATTCCGCCAACCACCACTTCCTCCTCTCCTTTCCCTCCCCGGCACCAAACTCCGCATCCTTAACATTTTCAACGGCGAACTCCGCATCGATTCATCCCCCTTCATTGCCTCCCACTGCGCCGGCGACCACATCACCCTCGCCCATCTCACCCTTCCTCAAACCGGCCCATTCACCTTTTCGGGTTCCTCGAACCGCTTCATCGGCATCGGCTGGGGGACCGCCCCCGGCAT